GTGGCATTATTAGGCAGCAATGATGGGCACTGACTGGAACTTATAGATGTCACCGATAGCTGGCACTAATGGGTACTGATAGATGGCACTGATTAGGAGGCACTGATGGGTATTGACAGGCATCATAGATGGGCACTGATAGGTGGCATTAATAGGCAGCAATGATGGGCACTGAGTGGTACTTATAGATGGCACCGATAGCTGGCACTGATGGGTACTGATAGATGGCACTGATGGGCATTGACAGGCATCATTGATGGGCACTGAAAGGCAGCACTGATGGGCACTGATATGTGGCACAGATGAGCACTGATAGGTGGCATTATTAAGCAGCAATGATGGGCACTGACTGGCACTTATAGAAGGCACTGATAGCTGGCACTGATGGGTACTGATAGATGGCACTGATGAGGAGGCACTGATGGGTATTGACAGGCATCATTGATGGGCACTGATATGTGTCACAGATGGGCACTGATAGGTGGCATTAATAGGCAGCACTGATGGGCACTGATAGGTGGCATTAATAGGCAGCAATGATGGGCACTGACTGGCACTTAAAGATGGCACCGATAGCTGGCACTGATGGGTACTGATAGACTGCACTGATGAGGTGGCACTGATAGGTGGAAATGATGGGCATTGGCAGGCATCACTGATGGGCACTGAAAGGCAGCAGTGGCCATGTATGGAAATGTGCATCGGCATGGCTGCTTGCATTCTCCACCAGGGCAGCATGTGATAGGGGGACAACGTCAGTGCACAATCGGGAGACAGTTGTCACCCCATTACGGCAACTGCCTGAAGAAGGACCTTTATTATTTTAATGAAAGCTGCAGATTTAAAAAGATCAAAAACTTAAAAAAAAAAAAACAGTTAACATGTTAAAGGAAAATGTGAGTTTTTATTGAGTAGATGTCCGCCTCTAATGTTGCTGGGAATGTAGTTCATCCTATTAGAGGCCGGGAAGGTTTTCCTGCGTTTGCCCATTTGTTTATAATGATATTACATAAGAGCGAGACGGCCAGATGACATATCGGTGAACAGTATCTCTTTGTCCGTATGGAGGAAATGTGATATTGGTCAGCATTTCATGTCCTTGCTTCATGCCCCATAAAACGGGGGGGGGGGGGGGGGGGGGGGGGGGAGGGGGGGAGAATAACAGCTCCCCGCAAAACCATAAAGAGGCCCCTTCGCCGGCTCCGTGCGCAATCCGGAGAGCCGGGACAAAATGTCAGGCCCCTGTGAAATGATCGCACCCGTCTACGCGGGAGAGAAATGCCTGACCATGGTGTGAGGAGGACATAGACATGCCGGATCGTGGCGGGATGATGATATGTCCAGGGTGTATCCGTCTGTCCGTCCGTCTGTCTGTCTGCCTGTCCGCCGCCTTCATTGCCTTCCCATACCAGATGGAATTTATACATCAGAACTTCTCATTTTTTGCTCTTTTTTGCCCCCCCCGACCAGTTATCGTATTGTTCCCCATGGACAACTCCATAGGAGCCAAACCTTGCACTGATGAGAGCCAACAAGCTTGGAACTATCGTGTGCAAAGGTACTATGTACCCCATTCATGAGGGGGCAGGGCGGTATCTGGAGGCCCCCTTATTCCAATAAGCCCCCTGCCTGCAGACCCCCACAACCAATGGGCCAGGGTTGTGGGAAAGAGGCCCTTGTCTTCATCAACATGGGGACACGGAGCTTTGCTGGGGCATGGCTCTATATTTAGGAGGTATCCAGTCTATAAACCAGAAGCTCTGGATGGACAGTTGGATAAATGGCTCTATATTTAGGACGTATCCAATCTATAAACCAGAGGCTCTGGATGGACAGTTGGATAAATGGCTCTATATTTAGGACGTATCCGGTCTATAAACCAGAGGCTCTGGCTGGACAGTTGGATAAATGGCTCTATATTTAGGATGTATCCGGTCTATAAACCAGAGGCTCCGGATGTACAGTTGGATAAATGGCTCTATATTTAGGATGTATCCGGTCTATAAACCAGAGGCTCTGGGTGTACAGTTGGATAAATGGCTCTATATTTAGGACGTATCCGGTCTATAAACCAGAGGCTCTGATTGGACAGTTGGATAAATGGTTCTATATTTAGGATGTATCCGGTCTATAAACCAGAGGCTCTGGCTGTACAGTTGGATAAATGGCTCTATATTTAGGATGTATCCGGTCTATAAACCAGAGGCTCTGGATGGACAGTTGGATAAATGGCTCTATATTTAGGATGTATCCCGTCTATAAACCAGAGGCTCTGATTGGACAGTTGGATAAATGGCTCTATATTTAGGATGTATCCGGTCTATAAACCAGAGGCTCTGGATGTACAGTTGGATAAATGGCTCTATATTTAGGATGTATCCGGTCTATAAACCAGAGGCTCTGGGTGTACAGTTGGATAAATGGCTCTATATTTAGGACGTATCCGGTCTATAAACCAGAGGCTCTGGATGGACAGTTGGATAAATGGTTCTATATTTAGGACGTATCCGGTCTATAAACCAGAGGCTCTGGGTGTACAGTTGGATAAATGGCTCTATATTTAGGATGTATCCGGTCTATAAACCAGAGGCTCTGGATGTACAGTTGGATAAATGGCTCTATATTTAGGAGGTATCCGGTCTATAAACCAGAGGCTCTGGGTGTACAGTTGGATAAATGGCTCTATATTTAGGACGTATCCGGTCTATAAACCAGAGGCTCTGGATGGACAGTTGGATAAATGGTTCTATATTTAGGACGTATCCGGTCTATAAACCAGAGGCTCTGGGTGTACAGTTGGATAAATGGCTCTATATTTAGGATGTATCCGGTCTATAAACCAGAGGCTCTGGATGGACAGTTGGATAAATGGCTCTATATTTAGGATGTATCCGGTCTATAAACCAGAGGCTCTGATTGGACAGTTGGATAAATGGCTCTATATTTAGGATGTATCCGGTCTATAAACCAGAGGCTCTGGATGTACGGTTGGATAAATGGCTCTATATTTAGGACGTATCCGGTCTATAAACCAGAGGCTCTGGGTGTACAGTTGGATAAATGGTTCCATATTTAGGATGTATCCAGTCTATAAACCAGAGGCTCTGGGTGTACAGTTGGATAAATGGTTCTATATTTAGGATGTATCCGGTCTATAAACCAGAGGCTCTGGATGGTCATTCGGTCTCTGTGGAGAGGGATATATTGTCTGTTGAGTTTCTGGATCTGGTGACATGTAAACATCTCGTGTTTTCGGAAGGATCTGCTGTACAAACCGACAGTCGGCCTCTCCCAACGCTCGGCGAGCTCACACCCTGTCTAAATATTGCACGCTCGGATTGAGTTACTGTAATGTCACATTATCAGTTACGCTAAATGAAATGATACGTTACATATCGGACTTTCCATGTAAACACTCGTCACCGACACACAACACAACTTTGGCGGAAAACACCAAACCTTAAAGCAGAACTCCGGACACAGCATATCTAATATCTCTTGATTGGATTGGTTTTCCGTTACCTGTGCCGCAGTTTTTCTGTCCTCCAATTGGCATATAAAATCACCTGTAAGCTACCCCTGGAAGGAAAGCTGCCATATGTGGCTGGGAATGCTGGAAGTTCTACTTTGAAAAAGGCAGACAGGACACCAGCAGAGGGAGCAGTGCTCATTTTCTTTCACTTCCTGTTGTATCTGCAAGAGAGGAAGTGAAGGGAAGTCTCCCCAAATGAACACAGGCAGCTGACAAACTGAGTGTTTTTATTTTTTTAATACCGTATGTATTATTAAAGTGTTCCTAAACCCAGCACTCCCTATATCCACTCTCCCTGGACTCTGCATTCACTATATCCGCTCTCCCCGGACCCTGCATTCATTATATCCACTCTCCCCGGACCCCGCATTCACTATATCTGCTCTCCCTGGACCCTGCATTCACTATATCCGCTCTCCCTGGACCCTGCATTCACTATATCCACTCTCCCCGGACCCTGCATTCACTATATCCGCTCTCCCCGGACCCTGCATTCACTATATCCGCTCTACCCGGACCCCGCATTCACTATATCCGCTCTCCCCGGACCCCGCATTTATTATATCCGCTCTCCCCGGACCCCGCATTCACTATATCCGCTCTCCCCAGACCCTGCATTCACTATATCCGCTCTCCCGGGACCCCGCATTCACTATATCCGCTCTCCCAGGACCCTGCATTCACTATATCCACTCTCCCAGGAGCCCGCATTCACTATATCCGCTCTCCCCGGACCCCGCATTCACTATATCTGGTCTCCCCGGACCCTGCATTCACTATATCCGCTCTCCCCGGACCCCGCATTCACTATATCCGCTCTCCCAGGACCCCGCATTCACTATATCCGCTCTCCCCGGACCCTGCATTCACTATATCCGCTCTCCCCAGACCCTGCATTCACTATGTCCGGTCTCCCCGGACCCTGCATTCACTATATCCGCTCTCCCCGGACCCCGCATTCACTATATCCGCTCTCCCAGGACCCCGCATTCACTATATCCGCTCTCCCAGGACCCCGCATTCACTATATCCGCTCTCCCAGGACCCCGCATTCACTATATCCGCTCTCCCCCGGACCCTGCATTCACTATATCCGCTCTCCCCGGACCCTGCATTCACTATATCCGCTCTACCCGGACCCCGCATTCACTATATCCGCTCTCCCCGGACCCCGCATTCACTATATCTGCTCTCCCAGGAGCCCGCATTCACTATATCCGCTCTCCCCGGACCCCGCATTCACTATATCCGCTCTCCCCAGACCCTGCATTCACTATATCCGGTCTCCCCGGACCCTGCATTCACTATATCCGCTCTCCCCGGACCCTGCATTCACTATATCCGCTCTATCCGGACCCCGCATTCACTATATCCGCTCTCCCGGACCCCGCATTCACTATATCTGCTCTCCCAGGAGCCCGCATTCACTATATCCGCTCTCCCCGGACCCCGCATTCACTATATCCGCTCTCCCCGGACCCCGCATTCACTAAATCCGCTCTCCCCGGACCCCGCATTTACTATATCCGCTCTCCCCGGACCCCGCATTCACTATATCCGCTCTCCCCGGACCCTGCATTCACTATATCCTCTCTCCCCGGACCCCGCATTCACTATATCTGGTCTCCCCGGACCCCGCATTCAATATATCCGCTCTCCCCGGACCCTGCATTCACTATATCTGGTCTCCCCGGACCCCTCATTCACTATATCCTCTCTCCCCGGACCCTGCATTCACTATATCCGCTCTCTCCGGACCCTGCATTCACTATATCCGCTCTCCCCGGACCCTGCATTCACTATATCCTCTCTCCCCGGACCCCGCATTCACTATATCTGGTCTCCCCGGACCCCGCATTCAATATATCCGCTCTCCCCGGACCCTGCATTCACTATATCCGCTCTCCCCGGACCCCGCATTCACTATATCCGGTCTCCCCGGACCCTGCATTCACTATATCCGGTCTCCCCGGACCCTGCATTCACTATATCCGGTCTCTCCGGACCCTGCATTCACTATATCCGGTCTCCCCGGACCCCGCATTCACTATATCCGGTCTCTCCGGACCCTGCATTCACTATATCCGCTCTCCCCGGACCCTGCATTCACTATATCCGGTCTCCCACAGTACACAGAACATGGAAATGCAATTATTTTAGTAAATATAAACTGCTAAATACTTTTTCTCATCAGCAGTATGTAGCAGTCTTGTGACTTCTATCAGAGCACTGGTTACAGCTTGTAGGAGGAGTTTTCATTCTGCTCTAGGAGGATGCAGAACCCCTGACCTCTGTCTGGACAGTGCTGATTGGCCCTGTACTGATCACACACACTCTCCAAAGAGAAAAAAAGAAAAACCTCTCTAGCAATACACACCAAACACCAAAAATTATTTTAGTAAACATAAACTGCTAAATCCCTTTTCCCATCAGCAGTATAGAGCAGTCTTGTGACGTCTATCAGTGTCCAGCAGAGCACTGTTTAAAGCTTGTAGGAGTTTTCATTTTGCTCTAGGAGGATGCAGAACCCCTGACCTCTGTCTGAACAGTGTTGATTGGCCTTGTGCTGATCACACACACTCTCCCAAGAAAAAAAAAAAACCTCTCTAGCAATAAACACCAAACTGAGCATGTGCAGAGTGACTCCACACAATATGTCTTATCAGGAGATAAGAGGACACTGAAAGAAGGGGAGGATCAGAGAAGACAGGATCAAACATTGTTTTTACACAATGCAAAGGACTAACCCCTTAGGTCCCACGGTGAGTATAACAAGCATGCTTTACTGCATCTACAGACTGATTGGACTGTTGTGGGTTTAGTGACACTTTAAGTAGAGCAGCATAAAGACTTTCACAACTCAAGGGGTCAGGTCTGACTGCATGAAACCTGTACTGGTAATTTCTTTGGCAAAGATGCTAACTGCAATGGTTGACAAATGGGAAGGGAGAACCAGCAATCTGTGTCTTAGTCCCCGATCACACCAGTGCGACTTTTTTTTTTGCCTTCCTCTGGATCAACTGTGGGTATAGGATTCAGAGGTGGACTGACCATTTGGAAACTCGGGCCCGGGGTCAGTAGGGGGCCCCATGAGATGCCCCTGGTACCTTTTTCATAGGCTTTTTTGAGTTTGGGTAAGGCCACTGGGGCCCCATGATCCTCTATTGCCCGGGGGCCCCATGAGTATTCAGTCCGCCCCTGATAGGATTATAACTTTTTTTTTTTTCTATGGTTGAACTGGATGGACTTTTGTCTTTTTTCAGCCAGACTAACTATGTAACTATGTCATGTGACTTGATAGTTTCAAATCACATGACAAGTCGCACCCTATTATCCACAATGTCTGTCGGAGTCGCACCAATTTTGAAAGTACTTCATACACTTCGTTTTGCAAGTTCAGATGCGACTTGCGTAGAAATCTGTGCACTGTGAAGTCGAACAGATGTTTTCCAAGTTGCACCCGAAGTCGCACTGACATCCAACTTTGAAACTTGAATTCGCACAATTTCAAAGTCGGATTCGGTGTCACCGAGGACATCATTCTTGTTCATGGAACTACGGTACAGAAAACATCGGAAATGTGAAAGTCGCATCAAATCCCCTTTCCTTTAGGCCCTGTGCGCACTATTGCGCAGGATAACACATGTTGCAATGCGGTGCCATTCATTTTGAACGACACCCCAACACGCCTTCTCAATGCACTTGTGTTACAGCCAGGGGCGGACTGACAGCTCATGGGGCCCCCGGGCAATAGGGGATCATGGGGCCCCTGTGTCCTTGCCCAAACACAAAAAAACCTATGAAAAAGGTACCAGGGGCATCTCATGGGGCCCCCTACTGACCCCGGGCCCTCGGGCAGTGCCTGAGTTTCCAGATGGTCACAGCACAATGTGTGGCAATGCACTAACACGTGCCCAGGGGCGGACTGACCATTCGAGCACTCGGGCACTGCCTGCGGGCCCGGGGTCAGTAGGGGGCCCCATGAAATGCCTCTGGTACCTTTTTTATAGGCTTTTTTTTAGTGTGGGCAAGGACACAGGGGCCCCCGATCCCCTATTGCCCAGGGGCCCCATGAGTTGTCAGTCCACCCCTGCACGTGCCCCCATTTTTTTTTGGGGGGGAGGCGAACAATTTTCCCCTTTTAGTGCTTTGCGGTACACACAAAGCGACTGTAACGCACATCACATTGTGCTACGATGCTATTGATTCACAATGCGCTGTGGTGTGCTGCATTGCCAAAAATGGCGTCTGTCTGTTCTCTGGTACATTTTGGTGCATGGCTAGCCCATTCATTGGAATAGGTTGCCTTAATGCAACGCATGTGTGCGTTATAGCAACACATCACGGCGCCATGGTCTTAATGGAGTGCATTTTGGGTGCGTTCGGCGGCCTATTCCAATCAATGGGCTGACCATTCGAGCTCTCGGGCACTGCCTGAGGGCCCGGGGTCAGTAGAGGGCCCCATGAAATGCCACTGGTACCTTTTTATTGGCTTTTTTGGGTGTGCTGTGAGTGTGGGCAAGGACACAGGGGCCCCATGATCCCCTATTGCCCAGGGGCCCCATGAATTCTCAGTCGGGGTGTGGTGAAGGGAGGGGTGGGGTGTTGGGGGGTGGGAGGAGGGTGGTGGTCACCCCTGGGGGTGCCCTAACGCAACGCATGTTGACGCACGGCATAATGCCTCCAAAATGCATCGGAGTTGTCCTTTAAGCACCGCTTGATACCGCAGAGCTTCTCGCCGGCCGATTTTTGACCGGTGACAGTCAGGCTTGTAAAAGGCGGCGAGCCCCATTCGCGCCCGGCGGTGAAATAGTTAATTGCGCCTGCCAGGAAAAATAAAAATGATATGAGCATTTGATCCCGTCCCGCCATCATTTCCTGTTTGCGCTGGAGTTCCAGGAAGGTGGCGGTTGTAAAATGCTGCAAGAAGCATCTAATTGTTGTGTGAGTGCAGGGGGCGGCGGGGATGAGAAGAGCCTCTGTTGTCAGCCCGTCACATGGAAAACTGTTTGCCTTTTTCTATCATTTCAGGATAGGCAGCACCTCGGTGATACATTCCTGGGAGCCCCGAGGGTGTTGTATAACAACAGACATTTCTTGTGTATGTCTGAAGATGTGAACAGATGGTGCACAAGATCAGGCCCTCGCTGCCACGTAGTTGTGAGTGTTCCGAGGGCTGACTCAGAGCCAAGGACCCGGATTTGGGGGTCCATAGACACAATAAACCTGCCCTAGTTACTGCTGGTACCCCAAAGCGCCGGCAGCTTCCCTGCACCACTCTCCTCCTTACATCTTCAACATGAACGCTTGGCTGAGCCAAGCACTCAGGTTTATGGGAGCGCTGCCTGGACTAGGGGGCCTATAGACACAATAAACCTGCCCTGGTTACTGCTGGTACCCCAAAGCGCCAGCAGCTTCCCTGCACCGCTCTTGTCCTTACATCTTCAACATGAACGTTTGGCTGAGCCAAGCACTCAGGTTTATGGGAGGGCTGCCTGGACTAGGGGGCCTATAGACACAATAAACCTAGCATGGTTATTGCTGGTACCCCAAAACACTGGCACCTTCCCTGCACCGCTCTCCTCTTTACTCCTTCAACATGAACGCTCGGCTGAGCCAAGCACTCAGGTTTATGGGAGGGCTGCCTGGACTAGGAGGCCCATAGACACAATAAACCTAGTCTGGTTACTGCTGGTACCCCAAAACGCCGCCACCTTCCCTGCACCACTCTCCTGTTTACACCTTCAACATGAACACTTGGCTGAGCCAAGCACTCAGGTTTATGGGAGAGCTGCCTGGACTAGGAGGCCCATAGACATTATAAACCTAGCATGGTTATTGCTGGTACCCCAAAACGCTGGAACCTTCCCTTCACCACTCTCCTCTTTACACCTTCAACATGAACGCTCGGCTGAGCCAAGCACTCAGGTTTATGGGAGCGCTACCTGGACTAGGAGGTCTATAGACACAATAAACCTTCCCTGGTTACTGCTGGTACCCCAAAGCGCTGGCAGCTTCCCTGCACCGCTCTTGTCCTTACATCTTCAACATGAACGCTCAGCTGAGCCAAGCATTCAGGTTTATGGGAGGACTGACTCAGAGCCAGGAACCTGAACTAGGGGGCCCATAAACACAATAAACCTAGTCTGGTTATTGCTGGTACCCCAAAACACTGGCACCTTCCCTGCACCCCTCTCCTCCTTAGACCTCGGACATGAACGTTTTGCTGAGCCAAGCATTCAGGTTTATGGGAGGACTCACTCAGGACCCTGGATTAATAGAAAAAAAAAATAAACCTGGCCTGGTTATTTCTGGTACCCCAAAATGCTGGCACCTTCCCTGCACTGCTCTCCTCCTTACACCTTGAACATTAATGTTTGGCTGAGAATTCATGTTCATGAAAGGACTGACTAAACATGAAGGCAATTGTCCCGGAATTTCTTTGACAGTCCCACATCTTGGCCTTATGTCCCACCCAGGAGCGGACTGACCATTTGGAAACTCGGGCACTGCCTGAGGGCCCGGGGTCAGTAGGGGGCCCCATGAGATGCCCCTGGTACCTTTTTCATAGGCTTTTTTGAGTTTGGGCAAGGACACAGGGGCCCCATGATCCCCTATTGCCCAGGAGCCCCATGAGTTGTCAGTCCACCCCTGGTCCTACCATTGCTGTGTCCTGGGGCAAGTCATGGCATGGATCACAGCAGCATATTTTGAATTGGGTTCCTTACGCCTTGAATATAATTGCTTGGCTGAGCCACGTTCATGGAAGGACTGATCAAACATGAAGGCATAGATGGCAACTGTCCTAGATTTGTTGGGAAAAAACACATCTTGGCCCTTTGTCTCACCAAAGCTGTGTCCTGGGCCACATCCAGGGACCGCAGCATCAACCCCTCTTTGAGTTACCGCACAGGCAAAGCAACTTGAAAGGCATCAGTT